ATATATATATATATATATAATGTATAGGCATAGCCATGAGCCCCATTCATGGATGTGGACAAAGAGTAGGGTGAAGGGTATGCATCATGGGGCCATTTGATATGACTTTCATTAAAAGCGGCCTTGCCAACTTTAATTGCAATTGCAATCCACCCAAGCAAACCATTTTGCTTTAGGATAATCCAGAATGATTCCTATTCTTAAAATTGACTATGCTAGTTTCTTGTCACTCTTTAATCTTGTAATTTACAGGTGGAGACGAAATGAAGAGGTGTAACGTGGTGGTTTGGTGTAGGATTCTTGCTTCGATGTGTGTCGGTTGTACCATTCTTACTGTTTTTATTCCAATACTTTGTTTGTCAAGTTGATGTAAAGCCGTTTGATTTCATGATTATGATCATAAATGGAGATTGTCACGTTGTGATAGTTGTCTGTCTCCCAGGGAATGATGATGTAGTCCATACATACCAGGTGGATTGTTTGTTATTCATCTAATTATTTATGGAGTTAATGACTTTTATCTATGTGATGTGAGACCAATAGGTCGCTTCTTCAATCTTTTTCTGGCTAGTCCCTATCCCAATCTTTATTAAATAATTCAATTTCAAGTTAAAAGACCATCTATGATTAAAATATATAAGTTAACATATTATACAAGACTAATTAAACCATTTTAGCTGACACTTTCCTAGTGATTTAACCTAAATTCAATTTAGTGTGGCCTTAATTCAAGCAATTAGGTTTTTCACGATAGAATTGGCTAAGTTTCTTAATTAAAATTGGTACTTGTTTGAATGCTTATCTTTCTAAAAGGAACCACATAACAAAAGAAAAGGAGGATACCCAACCTAAAGCCTCTTTATTCGTGCTTTCAAATAATTTTGGCTTTACATTCCCCTATCTCCATCAACCCCAACGTACTGTCTCCCACCATGCTCCATTCTTTCTTCCTTGAAAATTTCTTTTCTAGGCTAATTGAAGCAGTTGTATTGCCCAATGAAAGGCCTGCTAAGACATAGACCCGCTCCCCCGAATCTGTCCAGCAGTCTTGTGCCGATTGCGTGCCGAAGCACCTTCCCTTACTTGCCCAATCGCTTTGCCTATGGACCAGTCTTTCATATTAGACTTGGACTCAGACTCAAATAAATAATTAAAAAAGCTCTATTAACGAATCAAAGGCAGCCATTTGTCAACAGTTCGTAGTTCTACTTGTGTCTTCAAACTGTTCCTTGATTTCACGTTGGAAAATGCGGAGCCGAAAACCGAAATTTCTTCGGAATGCTCCCTTCCCCTCCACTTGTCTTAACAGTATAGCCAGCCACTAGTATCCAAAACAGGCACATCTGCAGATAACATTATGTTACATGTACATACAAACATAGGCAACAATTATCCAAATAATATCTCTCTGGGTATTAATGGTGCAAAATTAAGCTGGTTCCATATCACATTAAGTTTCCTGAAATCATATCGATCAATCAATGAATCAATCAATATGATAGGGAAGAGCCATAGACTTCATTCAACGACAAGGATACACAAGAGCACTCTTTATACACAGTAGATAAAATAAAAAAAAGTCAAAAGGTAGCAGAAACCAGAACTTGACCCAAGATCAGCGGGATCGGCCATACTTGTTTTGTGTGTGTGTGTGTGTATATTAAAACTCGATACATGAAAAAGACAAATCATTCGTCACGCTATGCAGGGCCAGGGAAAGAAAGAAGAGGATGTGCAATGCGAGTACGATGATAAGAGAAGGATACACAGCTGCTTGATTCTCACCTTCCAACTCACGGAGTCAACAACTTGGGCTCATAACTGTGCATTGCAATAGAACATATTGAATTGGAAATTATGTAAATAAACTAAGTTAAAATTTTCATGATTAAGGATTGGTTTCCTGGATATGAACAAAATCAACAATGAATCAGAATGCCTAATGAAATGAATATTACGAGCCACCTTTGATTATTCAGCATTAAGTTGAAGAGTAGAAGCAAACTAAACATTAATAATGTCATGTCTAAAGGTTGAAGAGTGGGCTATATAGTTTGTGAAGAAAACAGAAAAAAGAAAAGACTGTACTGACATGTATTGAATCCAAGCAGTTTGTGAATTATGGATAAGAAATTTTTTGATCCACAAAGAAAATAATTAGTATAGAAGATAACCATATGTATTTTATAGACATAGAGTTAGTTAGTAATCAATTCGTTTTTTTGAAAGACAATGAACATTTATTAAAATTTTATGATATAAGTTCTTCAAATTATAACTAAAATTGGATAAAAGTAATGAAAAATCTGACAAGTAATAAGTATGACAAAATATAGAAAAATCTTTAGTATAAGACACTTTTATTTTTGTTAACCCATTTGTCATAAAATCTACCTTACCGGTTCTTCTTTCCTATTGCTGGTAGTCTAACCTAGTCAAATTTCCCTTTTCTCATCAAAGTGTCCTTTTTTTAAAAAAAAAATTCATTCAATTCATAACATTTCTCTTACTCTATTTTTTGATCTTAGTCTTGTTTGACTTGTGTCTAAAGTTGTGTTCAATAAACTTTTATATAAATTTACAAGTGTCTATTCTTTAAGGAAATAACTTTTTCTTTAAACACCTTTTTGTCTTAAACACAAGTTCTTCAAATTATAACCTAAACTGGATAAAAGTAGTGAAAAATCTAACAGGTAAAAAGTATTACAAGATATAATTTTTAAATAGTGGTGTTTTTCCAATAATTAATTATGAAAAGATAACTTTTCATATGATAGATATAACCCTTAAATCAAATTGTCTTTTTAATAGTCTCTTTATCAACAGACAAATTTTCATATGAAAATGTATAACTTTTTAATCGGAGTGTATTTTCAATAATCACAATTTTTCACTTGACAAGATATAACCTTTCATTTTGAAAATATACTAACAAAATCTACTTACCATTTAAACCAAAAAAAATCCACCTCATATTCCTTAATATATTACACTAATTAATTTACAAATATTATAACATGCTAATATATATGCTACGTACTATTTATGTATATCCAATGTTTTTCTTTATATATTATACTTAGGTTTTCTTTTTCTTACCTTTTTTACAATTCAAATTTACTTTTTACTTTTTAAAATTAAAATTAAAAATAAAAATAAAAATTTATTTAAATAGGGTAAAAAGAAAATAAAGTGAAAAAGTATTACCTATGAATTAATTCTTATACATATATTAATAATTTAACTTTCCCCTCGACCGTGCTACAAATGATGTTGCTAAGTTAGACGGAACTATCAATCTTGTTTAAACTAATGACGAAATTCTAGTTTAACTCTTTGATACTAGTTACATTCTAGAATTGACTTATGAGATCAAAATTTTCTATTCACCACGTGCACACAAACATAAATAAAATTAAAATACAAAAAATCAAATTAAACTCACACAAGACTGGTAAGGAATAGCATGTACAATTTCTATCTGAACAACATCTTTTTGCACTATGAGATTGACAGTATAAATTTTCCTGTACTTTCCTAATTATCAACCTTAAATGTGTTATCTGTAATTACCAAAATTATCAGTGAATAAACAAAATATCATATGTGAATGAATGAAATAAGACCAAATGCATTCTCCAACAAGAGATGGTTATGATTCAATTCTTAATCCTATTATGGAAACAAGAATCATCGTATCTTATGTTAAAGAAGCAAGTCCAGTCCCAACGAACTCATCCAATTGAATTTTGATGAAATTCAAGGGGTGCCTTGATAGCTTTTCCTTTCCTTTTAAGTCACCATTAATATGTCCAACAAAGACCAACACCACTATAATCTTACAACAATAACAATGGAATCCCTTCATCTTTATATATAACATAGGCTTTTTGGGTAACAAGTGCATAGGAAGCTTTCAATTCCAATTCTTTGCTTTCTAGGCAACCATGACTAGAAAAAAGGTGCAACTTGCCTACATCATCAATGATTCTGCAAGGAAAGCTGCCTTCAGGAAAAGAACGAAGGGTCTGCTAAAGAAGGCGAGCGAACTAAGTACCCTTTGTGGGATAGAAGCTTGTGTGATTATCTACGGTCCTTATGACGCTCAACCTGAAGTTTGGCCATCCTTTGCAGCAGCCCAACACGTGCTCTCAGAGTTTAAGAAGATGCCAAAGATGGATCAAAGTCAGAAGATGATGACCCAAGAGAATTTCCTTAGGCAAAGGATCGCAAAAGCCAACCAACAGCTTAAGAGACAGTGCAGGGACAATCGCGAGAAGGAGACCACACAAGTCATGTTCCAATGCTTGGCTGAACAAGGGCTGGAGAATTTGAACATGATGGATTTGACTGACCTCAAGTGGTTGCTTGAGCAAAACCTGAAGGATATTGACAAGAGGATTGATATGCTTACCAAGGCATCTCATTCCCAAGGGTTTGCAACAACAATCGCAATGCCAGAAGTGATGCTGAAGAATGGAGAAAAGGTGCAAGCGAAGAGTCCAGATCGTGAGGCGAGCTTGGAAACAGTGCAAAGGCAGCTGTTGATCAAGGACTTGATGCACCCACGAGAGCACGTGGAACTTGGTTCGCTACTCCCACTTAGGGATAACAACCCCACTACTTTTTTCCCCTAAAAAAAACAACTATATGTATTACAGTTCCAGTGTTTACCTGCTTGTGTTAATTGTAATGTCTGAGAGATGTTCTTATTACATGTTTTCTTGTTCTAGTTTAAGTTATTTACATTTTCTTTTCTTATTTACAATCACCCCTTGAATTTAATGTACCTAATAGATTCCTTGGGATTTACTCATTATGATTGTTATCTTCATTATCAATTGATATCATTGTACTCTCCATTTTTGATTTCTAGTATCTGATTGTTAGACTGTTCATGTAGACACTGTTACATTGAAATTACATATCAAACTTGCACTGCTGTTTCAATTTTGTTGTTTTCATCGCAATGTGCGGGTATGGAACCCATTCGCCTCTACGTGAAATGGAGTCACCATCAATTTTTTTTTTTAATAAGGCGTGATTGGTCACTTATTTTATTCATTCTATTTAATGAGGTTCTAAAGTGATTTTAGGATTGTCTAAAAAACAAAAACTTGGTCTGTAAATTTTAGATTTGGGTTTGAGAATACAATTATGCACAAGGAATGATTAATACCTCACGACGGCCATTTCACGAATAATAGCATTTAATCCTATGTATCCTATTTTAACTTCAATTTTTAATTTTATTCTTATATTTCTTCAATCATTGTTTATTATTCTATTTTTTATTTTATTCGTGTCCTACAATCCTTTTTTCGGTTTTATGGGAGCATATGATGTAATTATGAAATGCATTGATATAAATCTTGATAATGTCAAATGAAAGCCTTTTATTAAGAATATTTCTTGTATTCACCATTGTACTAGTGGGACCTAAGGATATATATTTTCTCACCTAGGGAATTATTTAGGAAAACTCGTTTTCGCAAACTTATTAAGCAAATCCATCATCATGGTAATCATTTATGCGTAAAAACATTTTCATATAATATAAACCCTAATACAAGTAAAGATTTTTTATAAAGAATATTCTTCAAGCTCTCCTATCATATTGATTGGACTTGAATATATTCTCACTTGGGAATTTTCCAACCAAACTCGCCTCCGCCAGCTTATTGAAAAGTGCCATCATCGAGCCTTAACTCATATACAAAATATCTGGAGGGATGCAATGATAGATAAATAGCATGATGGTGACATGCAATAAATTTCGATATAAATTGTCCTCAATACCATATTATTATTATTATTATTATTAATTTTATTAACATACTTTTTATCAATATTTTAAGGAAACATTTATTTGGATTAAAATATTGAGATTTAAGATTAAAACCCCTCATCATATTAGTGGAGTTTAAATCAAATGGTTCACCTAAAATATTAACCCTAAATTACGACTTCTTGCATCTTGGATAAAAATTTCATCATCAATTGAATTCAAGTAAAATACATTTAATTCATTTCATACTAACTACACAAACGCAATATTATAAATTGAAATGGACTTAAAATAAAGAGAAGTTCAAGAGACTCACTTTTAGTGGACTAAACAAAAGCCCATTAGTTTTTAGCAGTATTGGGCTTTCATATGCCTAAACCTTCATTTTTTTTCTTTTCCTAGGCCACTTGATCTGCTAGGTCACAAGTTGGGCCACCAAATGAGTCGCGAGTTGGGCTGTGGTAGGCTTCTCTTTTGGATAGCATAGTGGGCCTTCCTTATGGACTTCTCTTTGTTTTTTTCAATAAGTCATTCCCACAGGGCCACTCAATGGGCTGCAGCTTCTTCTTCTCTTCTTTTTTTTTCTCCAAAAATTGACTATGCTTGTTGGGAGTCGATCTCCGAACCCCTCAATTATCTGCCTTTTTTATATTTTTTCTTTCCTTTTAATTTTTTATTTTCTTAATACTCTCTTTTCTTTTTATTTCCTTCTTTCTTTTCTTTTTTTTTGTTTGTTTTGAAATAACTTAAAATGATGCCATTTGAGCACCTTTCACATCTAAACCCTAATTATAAAAGCTTCATTTTCACCCACTCTCCTCATTTTTCTACCTCACTTTTCTCTAGTAAGCGTCTTTCTCTAAAAGAAATCCAACCACCTCCCCAGATATCAAACAATGATATCATCAATCATCAATCATCGACCACCGCTTGCATTTCTCAAAATTTACCAAAAATCACTTTTTTCACCCTCTTTCCTTTGATCGAAATACTTTTCCCAAAAACTCAATCTATTTTCTCCATTTTGGAAACCTTTGGGTGATAATTTCAAATCCTCCGGTTATAATATTGAAATCCTTCGGATAACAATTTCAAACCCTTTGAGCATAATCTTGAAATCCTCCGAGTAAGATTTCTAAATACTCCGGTTATAATCTTGATATCCTTTAGGAACAATTTTCAAAACCTCCAAGGTACATCTTTAAAACCTCTTAGTAACTATTATCAAATTTTCGAGTAACAATTTTTAAAACCTCCAAGTAATTAGCTTTTAAGTTTCCTAGCCTCATTTAAAATTAAAAATAAAGAGCATAACTTCTTTTCTCAAACCTTTTTGTTACCTTATCAAAACCTTTGTCATTAAATCCTCTAGGTAATTATTTTGATAAACTTCGAGTATATCATCAATACCTCCGGGTAACAATTATTAAATCCTCTAGATAATCATTTTAAAAACCTCCTAGAAATTACCTTCAAGAATACTTTTAAGTTATGCAGTCTCATTTAAAGATTAGGAGCATAACTTTTCTTCATAAAACCTTCAGTTATATTATCAAAAATCTCCAGATACAATCTTAAAAACTTATAGGAATATTTTTAAAACCTCCGAGTATTTCTTCAAAACCTCTAAGTTCATTTTTAAAACCTTCGAGTACCACTTTCAAAATCCTTAAGTCTGAAAAGAAAAGAATGGAGCTTGTTCTTAGATAAGCAAAGTCTTGATGGCCTTAAATTGCCTTCTCAAACAAAATAGTTGTCTATGTATCTTTGCACAATTCTTGGTTCTAAAAAAACACGCAAAGAGAGACAATTGTAAACACCTCATTTTGTCTCAGTCAATTTAAGACATTCTTTTTTATTTTAAATTTTATTTTATTTTTTTTATTTATTGATATTTATTTAGTGAACATTGGGTCAAGTTGGGTGTGGGTTTAATTGAATTGGGTCGTTTTAAAATTGGAATCCAAAGACACATTAAGTCTTATTCCATGGTAGAGCTTAGAGCTTTAGGCTTTTAAAGCCCAAAGCTTACTAGGCCTAAAGATCATAATAGCAAAAAAGAAAAAAAAGCAAAGAAAAAAGGGTTATGGTAGCCCCTTGATAGACTGCCATGGTAGCTAGCTAGGCGGCTACCGTCTTTATTGCCTAGAGCCACTTGTGGTTGCTTTTCAGCCCACTGTAGCTTTGAAGCACTTGATCACCTTCTTTCATAGATCCAGAAAATTGAGGCATAGGTTCCATAAGAACCTGCAAAAATCATAAAGACATAAGGATGGATGAAGGGGGATTCCACAACCAACAACAAAAGAAAACTTTCAAAGTCAAATATATATTATTTTATAAGAATAAAATAAAATAAAAATAATTATTAGTAATTTTAGTAGGAAATGAAATATGATAAGAATGATTATTATAATTTATTACAATGTTTAGTTGGTAAAAATAATCATTTGTTATAATATTTGATTTTTAATTTATAATATTTATTTTTAATAATTTATTAAAAATATTATTAAATTATTATTTAAATTTTAATATGGGTTTAGGGTTTAGAATATTAATAATTTATATTTCACTTAAAATGTTAAAAATTCATAATTAAAATTTTATTATTATTATTATTTTATTCTTTATTAATTATTAAAATATTAAAATTTTATAATTAAAATTGTAATTTAATTTTTAAATTTAAATATTAATTTTTATAAATTATACTAAATTTTTAATTTAAAGAGAGGAGAAAGGGAGATGGGTAGAGAGAGAAAGAAAATGTGAAAATAAACAAATTACATCTTATATAAAAGGGTAATTTTTAAAATTAATGAAAAGTAATTTTGTACAGTAATATTTTTTGTCTATTCCCTAAGTTTGGAATAGCCATTATCAAAGGAGACTTTGGTAATGACTATTTAAGTTTCTAAAGGAATGACCATTCCATGAACCAAATGCAAGAATAGCTAGGTAATAAGAATAGTGGGGAATGACTATTTCATTCTCCCAACCAAACACATTGTAAAGGATTGACATTATAGGTCTTCTTATTCTTTCCTAATTACTAGACTTAAATGTGTTATCCATAATTACCAAAATTAGCAATAAAAAAAACAAAATACCAAATGTGTAGGAATGAATGAATAGGACAGCAAAACATTCTTCTACAAGAAACAGTTATGATTCAATGCTAGATCTTATCATTGAAACAAGAATCGTCATGTCTTACGTAAGAAAAGCCAGACCAGTCCCAATTCATCCAATTGATTTTGTTTGTCACATTACAGCTTAGATATTCTCGGACAGAGATCTCTTCATATCCTTTACAGCCAAAATTGCGCTACTTTGAGCACATTTTCACTCCCTCCATATAGATATTTCAATGTTTGCATCAATCCACTTCAGATAAAAGACTAGAGTTGTATTTTTTTGGTAAAATCTAAGGGGTGCCCTAATAGTTTTTCCATTCCTTTTAAGTCACCATTAATATGTACAACAAGGACCAACACCACTATAATCTTGCAATAATAACAATAGGATCCCATCATCTCTATATATAGCATAAGCTCTTTGGGTAACAAGTGCATAGAAAGTTTTCAATTCCAATTCTTTGTTTTCTAGGTAGCCATGACTAGAAAGAAGGTGAAGCTTGCCTACATCACCAATGATTCTGCAAGGAAAGCTACGTTCAAGAAAAGAAAGAAGGGTCTGTTGAAGAAGGTGAACGAACTGAGTACCCTTTGTGGGATAGAAGCTTGCGCGATTATCTACAGTCCATATGATGCTCAACCTGAGGTTTGGCCATCCCCTGCTGGAGCCCAACGCGTGCTCTCAGAGTTTAAGAAGATGCCTGAGATGGAACAAAGCAAGAAGATGGTGAGCCAAGAGAGTTTCCTTAGGCAAAGAATCACAAAAGCCAATGAACAACTCAAGAGACAATGCAGGGACAATCGCGAGAAGGAGATCACACAAGTCATGTTCCAATGTCTGGTTGGAAAAGGGTTGCAGAATTTGAACATGATGGATTTGAATGACCTCGGGTGGTTGCTCGAGCAAAACTTGAAGGATATTGACAAGAGGATTGATACACTTAACAAGGCGTCTCATTCTCGAGGGTCTGCGGCAGCATCATCAGGAACAACAATGGCAACGCTAGATGCAAGGCTGAAAAGTGGAGAGAAGGTGCAACCAGAGAGTTCAGACCGTGAAGTGAGCATGGAAACTGCGCAGAGGCAACAGTGGATCAAGGACCTGATGCATCCACCAGAGCACGTGGGACTTGGTTCAGTGCTCCCATTCGGGGATAATAACCCCACTGCTCTTTGGTCTAATGCTTTTTTCCCTTAGGAAAAACAACTATGTGTATCACAGTTCCAATGTCTAGTTGTCTGCTTGTGTTATGTCTAAGAGATGTTCTTATTGCATGTTTTTATGTTCTAGTTTAAGTTACTTACATTTTCTTTTCTTGTTCACAATCACCCCTTGAATCCAATGTACCTAAATAAATTCCTTAAGATTCAAACATTATGATTATAATCTTCACATTAATTGATATTATTATTCTCTTCATTTCACATTTCTAGTATTTGATTATTAGACTGTTCATGTAAGCACATTTGCAAAGAAATTACATATTAATGTTAGCTTTACAATCAAAACTTGTACTGCATCCAGTGCAAAAGAAAAAGACAAAATCAAATCACATATCCTAAGTTTTAAATTGCTACAAACAACTACTCTTTTTAGGTGTTGGGTGTTGTTCCAATTCTTGTTTCTTATGATTTTTTTTTAATAATTAAGAAAATAGAGATTCGAATTTTATTTTTTAGATAAGAGATTATGCATCAACTAATAAATCAAATATTCAGATACTTCTTATGATTTTTGTTGTTGGGTGTTGTTTTAGTTCTCTTCTTATGTGTTGTAAGCTTCAATTTGATTTCCTTTTATCCATCAAATTTTGCAACAGTCATTCATATTTAATAAAATTGTTTCTAATTCAGCCAAAAAAAAAAAAGATGTAAGCCAAATCAACATGAAATGTAAATCAGTGATAGTAAGCCCCTTCAATTTTATTCTTTTATATAAACAAGAGCAATAGGCTTATCAAAATCATTTTATCACATATCTTTCTTCAATTATTTAAAGAGAGGATATATTAAATTAAACATATTCAGGACATCAAGGAAAATTAATCTTTGCAAACCATTTGCAGCACATCAGAAAAAAATACAAACCTTTCCCTTAGTATGCAGTACAGCATCAAATATATATTAGCCATTTGGTTGAATATAAATCCAAGTGAATTATATTTCATCACGCAAAGACAACAATGGCTTTAAAATTTCTTACATATTTGGTTAAAAGTTAAGTATGTTATAAATTCAAGTTCTTCATTCTGGGATACAAAAGGAGGAGTTACCATTAAGAATAAATAATTGGATGAAAAATTGGTTCCTACCATTTGATTTTGTATACTTATGCGTAATTATTTTTAGATTTGGCAAAGATTTTTGTTTAATGATATTACAAATGGGATGCTGATTGTGTATAAACTTAATCTATGTGGATCAATGGATTAAATTTCTGAGGTAGGCTATTTATTACCATCTAATTCTAGCCAAGGCTTGTAACAAACCGAGATTCATTTTTTGGTGATTATATATCCAGATATTTCCTGTTGATGCTCTTAATATGAATGTTTTGAAAACATATTACTGAAGATGTTGGTCATATATAGCAGCTTGATCATGATACAATACTTACCATTTAATTCAACACCAAGATTTGTTTCTTTGTGGTTATCTAAATCTTTTTCTGTTGTGCCTTCCATACATGAATGCTGGAAAATAGGTTAATGAATAAGATGCTGATTATATTGCAGCTTAATGATGATTAAATTTCCAAGTTATGCAATACTTACCATCTAATTCTATGGCCCACAGTCCGCAGAATAAATCATTTCATGGTCATTACTATCCAAATCCATTCCTTGAAGTGTGACAGATCACGGGCCGGGGTTTGAAATAATAACTCTGACTAGTGGTATGATCGAGTAGCAGGATCTGCACAATGTGTGTTGTGATAGTGATTACTGATAAATCATGTCTGTGGTGATTGAAATCAAATGATTAAGACCCCTAAGATTTCCGGATGGAATTCATTAGGGCTAGTGAGGACATTTGTAAGACAGATATACTAATTAGAAAAGAAAAAAGAAGGCTTTGCTTCTTCTGACCAAATTATACCTGCTTCTTCTACTAAGTGTAAAAGCAGCTGCGAATGAAAGTCTACTGTGCCTAACTTAGGTCGAAAAGGGGTATAAATAATTATTCAGATACCAATTCAATTCAAATGTAGGGAACTAAGGGAAGGCACTACATGGTATAAGACTGGTCAAAATCCATGCTGTTGACCGGGATTCTGGTTCCAAGTTTTGAAGCCTACCATAGTGGGCTTGACTTCAACATGTGAATCTCCTCCTTTATACTTAGCAGTGAAGGAAGGGAAGGGAAGCTTGCTTTCTATCTCCATTTGCTTGGCCTTTGGTTTTCTTTGTGGATCTTCAAGCCTTTACCCTTTTCATAGTTTGTGCAACCATTATCAATGTACCATATGTATCCAAAGTATTCTTCTTTTGCAACCATTATAATTCAACTGTTATGAGCTTTTCATAGTTTGTGCAACCATTATCAATGTACCATATGTATCCAAAGTATTCTTCTTTTGCAACCATTATAATTCAACTGTTATGAGAGAATCAATCGGCTTTGAAAATTTGACTCTCCTCCCATTTACTCTGAGCAGTGAAAAGGAGGGAAGTTTTTACTAATTTATTAGTCCCAATTGCTTGCCTTTTCTGGTCTCTTAATCTCAGTTCCATCTTGACTCTAGCCTTTTGTTAATATTGTATGTGGGAACACATTTATGAGTGTAACCATCGATCCAAAGTTCCTCTTTTGAATGGAGGAGGTGAGAGCCTTAGGGTGAGAATCAATCAGCTTTGAAAGATCATATAGTGGAAGAATAATTTATAAGGAATACAATTTGCTTTTACATTATGTAGTTATGTGCTTAAATCAACTCAGACCTGAAATAGTACTAGTTCCAAAATATTAAGCAAATTTGGATTTATAAAAATAAAATGATTTTATTATACCCTAAAACGTGTGATTAATAATATCAGTACTTTCTATATTCAGAACACCTATCGATAAAGAAAATACAATTAAAATCAGATCATTTACATGCTTTATATATATACATGCATGCACACAAAATCAATTGTACAATTTTTTTAGCTCCCAAAAATGATATACATAGCCATTAATTTTCTGCAATATTTGTGTGTATGTGTAGTTATGTTGAAGTGATAGTTATAAGCAGTAGACTATTCAATTAATTCCTTAGCCGGCAAGCCAGATATTTAGTTCCCCACTTTAGATGGATTAGCATAGTTGTAGTGAAAGCATCGAAACTATTACATTACAGTGCGGGAATCTGGAACACGGTAGTGTATCAGGCAAGCAAGGCGACCTATGTAGAAAACCAAACCGGACAAATATCTAGCTATAGAGTACTGTTACAAACAATATTCCAGAAACCCAAGCTTCCTCTCACCACTAATTAATTAAGATTTCTTCTGATTAGCTGTTCAATTAACCATTATCCAGTGCTAATTAATGGAAAATTCATACAGACAAAATTGGGGGAGAGAAAGGAGAAAAGAAAGGCCTGGAGCTGGGAACCATTAATTGTCTTTGTAGAGTGGGGTACAAATGAGAATTGGAAGGTTTAAACAGATCATCAGCTGTCCAGGGGCAGCACCTGAATGAACCATCAATCATGGTAAAGGTTCCCAAGGGATCTAAAGGAAAGCAGAAGCTTTTACTAAATTTGATGGTCACCGTTCCATACAGCTGTACAGGGAGGCAAACAAAAGCATCTCTACATGTAAAGCCTTTTAGTCTGTCATCTGTGTTTTACTTGGTTTGATTTTGCTTTCAGATTCATGTTTGAAAGACCAGCAACCATTATTAGGGAAAGAAAAGCCTAAATCCCAAAACCCACCCTTTTTTTCTTCTATCGGTCTAAAAACTTTATTATTGAAGCAGGAGATCATGCACCAATCAATAAATTAAATACTCAGGTGCATGATCTTAAAAGTTGATCTTCAAACCTCACCTTGAAGCTTGATCTTAAGGTTTGAGAACAAATAGTTACATATGGATATGGATAACTTAGGCCAAGAAATACATACTGTTTTTTTAAGTTGCTTAGATATTTTCATTAAACAATCTTATTCCTAAGGAAACACGTGATTATAGGCATTGAACCAACACATTGAGCATTTAGTAAAGCATCTAATTGTGTTGTTTAAGCAATATTAGAAAATAAGAGAGTGCCTTTCAAGAGCAAGATTCCTTTCTGGAAGACATGGGGTCATTATACGGAGGAAAGTGCAAACAAATAGATTCTACGCTCACGCATTTGCTGCAAAGGAAGCCAAATGCTTGTACATTCTCTTGAAACGAACGTATTCAGGAGGTTTTAGGGCGACCCTCGCCATTGGTTTTCAAGTCCTTCACACTGGTCTGATTCATTATTGTACGGCTGCAACTTTTCATTTTACTAACAAATAAATAAAATTGCTCTATTCTTTATAACTATATTAATTTCCAGATTTTATTGTGGTTTTCCTCTCTGCCATGCTTATGCAGGAGAATATATATTGGCTTTGATTGAAACAAGGCAACAAGGAAAGGAAAGATTGTACTAAAAAAAGAGCTAAAACTTAAAAGGGGGGGTGGGGGAATGAGAAAGGACGTCCGTGATCTGTGATGGGTGAAATGTTAAATTAAAGCAAGAGCGATGAGAGGATATGTACATCATGTCGTACATTTGTTCGGAGCGAGCCATAACCCCTATTCGTGGAGATTTGTCAGATTCCACACACATGGAAGTACCAATTATTTCATATGCTGTCTGAAAGCGTACTTGCTTAAGCTTAACCAACTAGCAGGCAGCAGGCAGCAGCAAGGCAGGCCATCTTTCTTGAACCAAAACTGCAGAATATAGCTTCAATTTCACAGCTCAGTGTACCCGTCAGATATATTAATTCTTTTATAATTCGAACTGCTGAAATTTGATCAAGTTTCCGAGTTTAAGGAACTCTAATCGTCATTGCTGTTTCATCAACCAGGAAACTGCCAGCTAGCCTAGTATGAATCTTCATGAATTAACATAAATTAGTACCTGGGAGCTCCATTTTCATTTACTATGTCCCCTAACTGAACGTCATGAACTGACATTGATTCTATCACAGAACCCCTGCAACTTAAACTACCCATTTTTTCCATATATGTCTGCTCCTCTAAATGATGCTTTCAAGAGAAGGGCAAGGTACCTTTAAACATCAGCTTTTCTGTTTATCTGGATGTATATGGTTTCGTATGAATCATAGGTAGAATTAACTTTAGTATATATAGGAAGTAAAAAGGAGGTTGCTTACAGGATACAGGACTGAGATTGTCCGTGTATTTTGTACCATGAAAGAAGGAACAACCATGCATAGAAACTTGAACAGAAGCAATTCTCCCTCTAGAATAAGAATGTTTATTCACAATGTTTATTTTTTCACAAACTATAAACAAACTGATAATAATTAACGATTTGCTGCTTCGAAAACAAAAAAAGAACGTAATTGGAAAGGAATAAGCCGCTGAGTGGTCTCAAGGAGAAGTGGTTTTCATATGAGGTCCTCATATTCAGACTGCGTGCTGGGGATGAACAGCTTCTGAGTCCAGAGAAGCGTGGAAATGGGCAATGAAAGCAGAGGCTTTCTTGTCAATACCAGGCTCAGCAACCACCCTGTGTGTGTTGTCTTCATCACTTGGATACACCTTTCTTGTGCTCCAAACGTCTTCCCCACCTGAATATGTATAATGATCCTGATCTATACGAGTACGACCCTTCTTACCTTTGAAAAAACTGAAGAAAGAGAAGGATTTCTTCTGCTTGTTCCCACCCATAGCCATGTATCTTGTTTTTGTGCTCACTCGGATGTACACACGAGCTAGGATGAGTCCTGCACTTGGCACTGCACTCTCTGATTTTCATGCGGAGCTGGGACTTGCTATTTATAGTCGCTACCTCTGTACTAGGAAGGAATCGAAGAAAATTGAAGAGGGGTATGATGAAGACAAGTGTATGGCGTGGATGGAAATCTTAGACATGGACCGAGCATTCCCATGTGTTGTGGTCCGTTGCTTGCATTGCCAATATGCAATTGCGCCGCCTTGACTCGAAAAGAAAAGCATTGGTTGGGACTTCACCACCCCAGTTTTTGGGTCTTTGCCCCTATTTGTTCCTCCCCTGAGAATTAAATCATTGGCAACTTGCCGTGCACCTTTCTTTGCTTTTGTTGGGTTGGTGGCATTTGGTAATGGTATTTGTACATTCTTTTTAACTTTACAAAGTGTAAAGGAAATCCTCGACACCTCCCTTTGGTAGCTGCTACCAGCAAGTAACTTTACACTGTAAACATGAACCTTAAATTCATCGAAGCCCCAAATACAACATACTAGTCCTTCCAGAAGCAGCTAGCCACTATGAACTTCCTGTTTCCTCTTCTTTAATTCCCACCAATCCCTCTGCCCCTTTTGTTTTGTTCTTCTTTTCACAATGTTCAATATGAACGACTGGTTTGAGCTTCCATTCTTTTTCATTTTTCGTGGTCAACTTACCATTTTGTATGTATGTGTATATACACGCAATAATTAAATCCGTAATTAAAAAATTAATGTACATTTTAAGAACTCACAAATATTATATATTTTTGATTTCGATATCAAAAACATACATTACAATTAATTAATTATATACATATTTAGCCATGCAATGTGCATTTAATTTGTTCTTATCACAAAAATAATAATAATGAAATGCCATATATATTATATTATATATATATATATCTTGATTCTTTACTAATGAGGAAAATAATATACAATTAGATTAGATGTAAAAGAAAGAGTCAAAAAGCAGATGGAAAAGTTTGATTTGGTCTTGTGGAACTAGGGTTTTGGCTGGCTTGTTGTCTTGTTATTTAAAAAAGAAAGAGGAAAAAAGGTCCCTCCTTTTCTATCATATTATTATAAGTTTATAGAATGAGAAAGTTGTGAGTGTTGAGGAATACAATCAAGGGGCTCCTTTCTTTACAAGATTTTGCAAGCATATAATGCATGCAAGCTGTATAGATTAATTAAGTTTGCTTTCTATGACAAAACCTTTAAATATATGAATGTTGTATCTGTGTACAATATTCCTTCTTGTCTTTTTAGGTTATATAATATGACATATTTATCATCTTTTTCTTTCTTCTGTTTCTGTATAAAAAGCCAAAACTTAAAAAAAGTGATTAAAAACATAGTATATTATGTGTTTTGTCTAGCTGTCTCACATTAGTATGTAATTATGAATTATAAGTTTTCATCCATCATTTGTTAATAAATTATTCATTGCTCCAAGATTTCAATCCCATGTATAGGATTACGATTGTCATTTTCACAATGATTATGTATATGTACCTAACACAGTTAGGTTGGAGACGTATGAAAAAAGCATTCATTTCTTTATCCTTACAGCCTAGAGGAATAATACATACATGCATTATTTTAATTTTATATATTTTGCAAATGTTTTTGGTGTTAATTTGATATGTATTGTTAATTAATTATGCCTCAACTTTCACATTCTAGCTGGGACCTCAAGTCAAGCTCCATTCCATTATCCTTGCCCATTGCATTGCATTGCATCAAGCCAAATGAAGTGTAGACTTGGAATATTCTCATACAAGGGACACCAAAGGAGAACACACGGAAGTAAAAAATAAGTATATTTATATTTTTATCGTAAAATTGGGCTTTTCTGGATCCAAGTTCATTTGGGCCTAATGCATGTATCATCAGGGAGGGCAAGAGAGGTCCAAATGATTATTGAACAAAGCCCATAGCCTGTTTGTGTCTTTTTTTTTTTTTTTTAAAGTTAAAATAGTACGAATATCAACATTGTCCATCCACAGTCACTGCATCGACACACAGACAGGGGGAGAAGATCTGAGGAACAGCACAGCATCTTCCATTTTTACATTCATTTATTCTTCTTTCTCATCTCATCTGCCCTGGTAATTATCATTTCTCTTTCTTTTCATTTCTAATAGAATTCCTACTCTTCCTTTTTTACCTTCCTAGAATTAGTTTTTGAATGATAACAAGAGCAGATTAAATGCTTTTGCACTTTGCTAATTGTTGCCTTGCCTGTGTACGACAACGGTCGTGCCATCTGATCGGTTTTTCTTCTTTTTTCGTTTTTTGTTGGCATGGGGGTGGGGTTGATTCCGTTGATTTCTTCTTTCTGACGGTTCTTTGATCTGTAATGATTCTCAAAGTTTCTATTTTTTGATTGGATGATGACTTTCAAAGAAAGTGGGCGTGTCATGAATATGTATAGGCATAGAGAGAGTTTTATGAGCTTGGAAATCGAATTAAATGAAAACCCTAATTCCAGGGTGGGTCTAAAATTTGTACAATTAACCGCGTTTCTATGCATATTGACACCCTGAAAGGTGTTTCTTCTGCTCTCTTTGATGGATTTGATAAGTTGCTGATAGTTTGGAGTGCATATGAGCTCAACTTTAATCGCTGCTCGGATCACCATTGCTTTTCTCTATTAAATAGAATTAATTTTTTGAACAGTAGATCCTTTTCCTTCTCCCACCATGTGGATCGGATTGCATTAATGTGACTATTTGGATTGAATATGCTTCAAATCGCACAATTGCAACTGTAGTTATTACATAAGTTTTCTTAGTCACTAAACCAAATGTTCCTGGGTTGATTTAAAGGGTCATACTTCTCACTGAGTTGTATCGTTGTTTTCTGTTGTGATTTCTGACCCTACTTCTTCCACTAATAATAACACGGTTGGTTAACTTATCAATTCTCATAGTATAGGTGGTAAAAAATGGACTACCAGCAATACAACAGTGCTCAGGAGACAAACATACGAGATAAACAGCAACAGCAAGAAGACCTGGTAGGCAACCCTTTTATAAGATTTCCCATCCATTTCAGAATGAATCTCTTCGATAGCTGTTTTAATTTGTTGTTGGATGTGGTGGCTCTAAATCAAGAAAATCAACCCACTCATCTAATTCCTTTGTTCTAAAACAATTAATCAGAATATTCTTAAAATAGTTCTTCACATGTAAATATAAATTTACTGTTTTGACATTTCTACCTACTTTTTCGTCAAGCCTTGTAAATGTGTATAGCTTTGTGATTGTTGATGTATTGAGCTGTGCCATCTGCACTTTCTGGCATAGGCATACCAAGATTCTCTTATTGAGGATTTGGCTGAAGATTTTTGCTTGCCGATCAATCACAAGCCAACAGAGAATGTCGATCTGGAGAATGTGGAACAAGCAACCTTAGATACAAGGTTGAATTCTTCTAACATTGGGTTTAGGCTTCTTCAGAAAATGGGTTGGAAAGGAAAGGGTCTTGGGAAGGATGAACAAGGTATGTTGGTATTAAATTTCTGTCATTTTACTGCATTTGCCTTCCGCACTATGAGGTCTTTTTTTTTTTTTGGTAATTTGACATCTAAGTTTCTCCTGTCTACACAAAACATAGTCTGGGATAAATAATTTGAGACTGGAATTTAACATGTACTTACAGTAATAGTACCGGTAATTACTATATGTGGAATTTGTTAATGCTGCTTAGGTTTCATTTTCTCATTACTGGGCTTGACATTCTCCAAGATGTGACTTAATTTTGTTGACTCTTTTTTTTTTTGGTTTTTTCATTTTTGGTTACTCCAAATCCTTTCTGCCCGTCCGTTCCATTGCTCAAAGTTATTTTCTTCATTGCTTATGACTATGTTCTTGGTTCACAGGAATAACCGAGCCAATAAGATCTGGGATTAGAGACCCAAAATTAGGGATTGGAAAACAAGAAGAAGATGATTTCTTCACTGCCGAAGAAAATATCCAGCGTAGGAAACTTGATATTGAAGTTGAGGAGACTGAGGAACATGCAAAGAAGAGAGAGGTATGGCTTTAAACTTGTAGATGATCACTTTAAGTTTTAGTCGATAGATAATAATGAGGTTGATGCTTTACATTTTGGAAACCGTCCTCCAATAGCAGAAGGCAGCATATAGCATATATGTGTGTCTTTTGATCGGAATGGTATATCATAGGGGAACATCAACCTCGGAAGCTCTTGTCAATTTCATGCAGTTTTTATTACCTGGTGGCTTCTACTGCCTGCTTCGTGCACATTATGAAAATCCAGGTGTTAGCAGAACGTGAGCAGAAAATTCAAACAGAGGTGAAAGAAATACGTAAGGTGTTCTATTGTGAGCTTTGCAACAAGCAATACAAATTGGCTATGGAATTTGAGGTCCATCTGAGCTCATATGATCACAACCACAGAAAGGTAAATGGCTGAATTCTCTCTCTCTCTCTCACGGACACACACACTCTCCCCCTTTTTCCAACCTCTTCTTTTGATGTTTGGGTAGTTTTAATGTTGTCTAATCTACAGCACCATTTGTTATTTGCTTGCAGCGCTTTAAAGAGATGAGAGAAATGCATGGTAGTAGCAGTCGTGACGATCGACAAAAGCGAGAGCAGCAACGTCAAGAAAAAGAGATGGCTAAGTTTGCTCAAATGTAAGTACTTCTGTCATCTGTGTGGTTTTGAAGATAGATTTTCTGTCCCACTTTATTAATTGAAAGCTGCAGGTTGTGGGGCTGCTAATCGTTTATTATCCATTTTCATGTCTTATTCTTTTTGTATTCTTTAATGTGTCATAGGGCTGGTGCTCGTAAACAGCAGCAGCAGCAGCAGCAGCAGGAACTACGTCAAGAATCTGGGCCCGCCGCTGCTTCTGCTCCTGTAACTGCTACTGCACTTGCTGATCAGGATCAACGACAGGCATTAAAATTTGGTTTTTCATCTAAAACTAGCACCTCTAAGGTATGCAATTATAGGATAAATGCGTATAAATTCCTGTAGACTGAGTAGGACCATGTTGAGAACAAAATTGTGGAGCAAGGCTGACTGTACATGTGATGTATTTCTGATGTTGCTAGCGACCAGAATTACTTAAAAGGGATAGCATTGTAATGAACAAGCAGCTGGAAATTTGAATCCTCTATCTGTTGCCAATTTAAAGTTATTTGACTGATGAACATGCTTGCAACTAACTTGTTAACTTTGGCCCTCATTTTGCAGAATGCATTTGGCAATGCAGCGAAGAAACCAAAATTTCCTGTTGCATCGGTTTTCGGAAATGACAGTGATGATGAATAGAAAAAGTTAGCTATGTTATCTTATGTAATGGTTGCTTTATCCTTGAGATCGTCACAACAATGATGGCTGAATCTGAAATTTTCAGTATTTTGTGTTGTCTATTAAACTATGAAATAATGTTATGTTCTATTTGTGTAACAAAAGATAAATTAAAACTGGCAATATTTGAAAGGAAACTGGTTTATTTGGCTTACATATCAAGCGGTAGTACATGCGAATGTGCACAGAATACATTTTTGGAATGAATCCCTGCATATTGTCATAATAATGAAGAACCATAGTGCAGTGCAGTAATAATTACATTACAGTCATCCATTCTGTCTATAATGTTTGTTTGGCACTAATTATCACCATACAAGGGTAACTTACAGAATCAGAATGGGAACTAAGCAGCCTCAGCAAAACCAATTTCAAGATTACCGTAGTCGAAAACAGTGTGATATACCCCCATGAATACATCTCCAAGAATCCTGCATGGATGTAATTTCAGCATATAGTGCAAGACAACTTGAGCAAAGAACCAGGAAGGGGCATAGTGTCATAGCTACCACCATTACTTACCACAAAGGACCTCTTGGTGGGGGCACATCCAAAGCAGTAAATCCACTCAAACAGACTGTAGTAATGTCTTCTCCAGTCTTCAGAACATACTGCAGAAATGAGTCAATTGAATCTTTAAAGTCACTGAATTCATACCAGGAGTATCATCCTATGCCAAGAGAGCAAGGAGAAAATCTAACCTGCTCCGGAGTGAGCTTAAAAGGCTTATCTCCGATTGTGAATGTAATGTGTGGCATCTCTGGAATTTTAGCACAGTCGATTGCTGACTCTCCCACTGGACTTGGTAGGCTCTCGCAGAGCTGTCAAAGACCGAAAATCACCTCATCCTCATATATAATCATATTGTATTGCCTCGTCAGGCTTCAACGAGGTCAAGTTTTCCAAAGTAAATTACCTCATTCACGTAGTTGAGAACTCTGTCCTTTGTCTCCTTCTGTCTAAGCTGACTCTGAATCCAAAAAACAGTCATCTCACAGGCAGTGCACAAGACTTGGTCCCCAGCCGATAATCCCTCCATGTTTTTCTTGTCAACCACCGTTTTAATCCCAGTGCTGCACAGAAATCGAAACTCAGCTAACATCAGGTCCAGCTCCTCAAATTTACTTCTCCTAAGCCTCTTATTAGTTCAATAAACACAAGGCAGCAGGGAGAAGTGATCCATCATTTTTTACATATAAATCTTGCCTCCTTGTTAAATGTTTGTGAAACTCCGCATGTAAGTTTTCAAGACAAGAGAACAAAGAGAATGTGAAGCGGTGTTACGTTTCTTACCTCATGGACTGAACCCCTTTGACAAGACATAAACCAATCTGAGTACATACTTTGTCAGGTTGTACCTGCAGACAAGATTAATACTTGGTATAATTGAAACTCTGCAAAGTTTGTGGAGATCGGAAAGAAGACAAAATAAACGCACCCCGGATACTAGGAGCTGCCATATCAGGTCTCCATATTGAGAGACAACTTCTTTACATTCGGCACTAACAACTCCATGAGCTCCAATAGCATGATTGATTTCAGCAACAACAGCCTGAAACGTATGATTGAATATTAGTACCAACTCCTCAGTTACAAAAACCTTTTGACTCGGTTTTTTTGGACATTAACAAATTGAGTAGTTAACTAACGAAAACTTATACTATTGAACCGTTTAGTGAAAGGTCATACTGTGGGGCCAGCAATTAAGGATGTTCCTGAATCCACAATAGCAGCACAACCAGTCTCACAAACACCTGCGATGTTAGATATTCAGACCCCTAGCAGAAGTTCATGATTGGCAAAGAGTAAGAGGTTTTAATAGACCACCTGTTGAATGGTTTCCAATAAGAAAGTCTCCCATATCAAACTGACAAAAGACATTAAGGATTAGGTTTCCTTCCACAGCAAATATACACCAAGGAAATTTTGACAAGTTTTCCGGGAGAAGGGTCAAGTCTCATTCACCTGCCAATAACCTTTTCGACTGACAGGGACATAAGTATGCTTCCCCTTATAGTGTTTCGGGTCAACCCCACCAAAAACAATCTCACCTCCTACTTGGGCTAATGGATCCCTGTTAAGCCAGAATGAAAAGACATCCTCTCTTACAAGATCTTGGTTCAACATATTGTACCTGGACCCTCCTCATGCATTAGTGTATCGAGATAGGAAGAAAACCACGCAAATTGAAGTTGACAAAGAACCATACCACACTGGAGTAGCATTCCCTACTGAAATCTCCTGGAATCCAAGCCCAAAGATTCCATCAAACTTTGCCAAAACAAAAGAGAGACTTCCTTCTCGGGTAGCCTCGACGAAAACCTGGAGATTGCAAAAGAAAAGAAAAGCAAGTGCCCTTTCACAATTGCAGCAAACAAAAAGCACAAACAATTCTCAATTAATTACAAACTCAAAAGCAGACGAAACCCACTTGATCCTTGACAACAAGACCGCCAAATTTAACATTATCTTGACCGAAGAAACCAGATATTGAACCAGATCCATAATTTATTTCACAAGATTTTCCTGAAGATACACCAAACAAGAAAAGTTATACAACTTTGATTCCAAGAAACAAAAAGGAATTCCATTTTGTTTCCATGATCAGGATAAAACAAAATAATTATAGAATAGATGACATTACCAATCTTGGTATATGTACTGGATCGACTAGACTTGTACTTTGAATGGAAATAGCAAGCAATCTGCAAAGCAGTTATAATTAACAGCTAAAATTAGTAATTCTGGCATAGCATCAACAGCAATGAAATTTAGGAGAAACTTACAGAGAAGTAGCATTTTGAAGAAGGAACCCAGAGATTGGAACTGCCTGTGTCAAATATGACAGAGAAGTTCTGCGGAGGTGAGCCAATGCCAATTACTCCATAGTATTGGGCATCCAAATAGTTTTTTAGAGGCATTACTTCTCCATCTGAACTACCAAAGTTATGAAGCATATCCTCTCCATGCATTGCCATTCTGGCAGCCTTAATACCATGAAGATCCAATCTTTGCTTCTTCAGAGTAATTCTGGATACGCCAACAGAGGGAGAGGGGAGAAGTAAACATGTAATAGCCCACAAACAGAAAGTCACTTGAAGATATTTGTGTCCCATGTTCACAGAAACTCCTGATAGATGACAGAGAGAGTCAAATTGAACAGTCATCTAAGCCAGAACAAGGAGAAGAACAAAGAATCAAAATTTGTTGACTATGGTTCGAAGAAATATTACATTTCGTGAAATAATTAATTAGGACAAACCTTACAGCTAGATCAATCACAAGTACTGATACTATACGCCATATGAATATGAACTAAGGCTCGCAGTAAAAATGAGAGCACTTCGCTATTTCCTGTGAAACTGTTAAAAGAATCAATCGAAGTTTTATAAATTTCTTTTGCTTTTTGAGATCTCCCACATCTATGTATGCGCAAACAACCCATGCACGTGAACTAAGGAATCAGAGGCAGCGGGAGTTAATCATAAGCAGAAACCAATATATACCCTGAAATTCCCGAAGATTACAGAAAAGTACATGAAATCCATGCCTGAAAACCAAAACTCTTTTTTATTTTTTGTTTAAATAACTTCAACAGCTCGATCAAGGAGGCCAGGGATGATAACTCAATTTGAACAAAAGCGGAAAACTAACTTGTTAGGGATGAAAACTTAAATATCTGTTGTAGAAGTCAAGCCTACCATTTAATTACCAAGAGATGAAAAAGGAAAAATTGGAAACAAAATGGTATAGTTGCTCTTGTGCTCCATCAAGCCTAGCTTACATGAAAGATGAAAGACATGCATGAGTCACATGAAACAGCCAAAGGAACAAAAGGTTGATATACTCCTATACTATATGTTGATGGTGATGCATAGAAAGGAGGGGAGAAGGGAAGTGGAAATTACCTTTGCTAAGAAAAGCTTTAGTTGATGCAAGTAATTAAGATGGTGGTGCGTGGCTGTGGCTGAGGCTGCGATGCTAATCTTCAAAACGATGAGCTCTGCACACACTTACACTTGAGAACTGAGAAGAGAAGACTATGCATAATAATCAGTGCTACTTCGAACTACCAGGGAGAAAAACTACGTGAGCAAGATTTGAGACCCTTAGATGTTCAATCAATCTACAGGTCGGGACTTAATTACTTTGTCTGCATCCACTTCAATATCTGCATGCGTAAGTTGGCGCGTGCAATCGACTTATGACAGAGTGTATGCTATTTCTAGTTTCTATGTTTGAAGATTAATTAGTGTAGTATTTGTAGAGCAGGTTAAGTCCACGTGAACATGGGGCGATGAAAAATGCAGTGAAGCAATAAAAGCATTACAGACTATGACGAAAAAAAGAGAAATTACATGGAAGCTTCCACATGATATTTCCTGAGAAGTAAGCAGCTTCGTTGGGACCCCACCTCCGACCTTTTTTGGCACTGCAGTCTGCAGTTAAACTCCATGGTTCATTTCTTCCTCTACCTAAAGCCAAGCTAGCCCATAACCAATGTACGACACCTACGTTGTTGTTTTGTACCTTGTTGGAGTGATTTGCCTCCGACAGAGAGACGGAACACAAAGGCATGAACCTGCGAAAAAATTGAGAAGGAAAAGGATAAAGAAAAACTTAGGATAAGAATATCAGCAAAATAGAGGCTGAAAATGAAGATATATTCATCAGAATATCTTAGCCTTGTTAAAGTTCAAGTACAAGAGAGAGAAACCATAACTGAACAAGAAATTCAAACTGACAACTAATGCCACTAACAACATGAAAAGGAAGAAAACTAACAATAACTGTCTGCAAATTTAAAATCCTAAATAACTATTCGTAGTATGCAAGTTAATTCTAACAGAACCGGCCTTCATGGCAGCTAAGTTAAGCTAACTCCATACTTACAACGTGTCTTAACTCGTAATAAGACCTGCGGAAACTATACTTATTATGAATATAATACTATATATAATACGTACGTACCTTATTCATTCGCCTTCAAGTTCCATTACCTCAATAGAAACCCCAAGCTTAGTAATTAATGTACTGCAAACAAGGCATGATCTCCACCTTAATTTGTAAATTGCAGAAACTAATTAAAACCAGAAGCGTAATTGGGAAATCGCTGGTTCTTAGCTTGTCATT